GCTGCCGGCGCCGCCGGGGGCTCGGGCGCCTGCCGTCCGGCGACCTCAGTGGCGGCGGCGGGCACGGCCGAGGGCCCAGGAGGCGGCGGCTCTGGCCCGGATCGCCGTGAAGAAGGCGCAGCTGCGCTCCGGGCCGCGGGCAAAGAAACTGGAGAAACTCGGAGTGTACTCCTCCTGCAAGGCTGAGGAGTCCTGTAAATGTAATGGCTGGAAAAACCCCAACCCTTCTCCCGCACCCCCCAGAGCCGATCTGCAGCAGATCATTGTCAGCCTGCCTGAGTCCTGTCGCAGTTGTAGCCACGCCCTCGCTGCTCATGTTTCCCACCTGGAGGATGTGTCAGAGGAAGAGATGAACAGACTCCTGGGAATACTGTTGGATGTGGAATATCTCTTTACCTGTGTCCACAAGGAAGAAGATGCAGATACCAAACAAGTTTATTTCTATCTATTTAAGCTCTTGAGAAAACCTATTTTACAAAGAGGAAAACCTGTGGTTGAAGGCTCTTTGGAGAAGAAGCCTCAGTTTGAAAAGCCTAGTATTGAACAGGGTGTGAATAACTTTGTACAGTACAAATTTAGTCACCTGCCATCAAAAGAAAGGCAAGCAATAGTTGAGTTGGCAAAAATGTTCCTAAACCGTATCAACTATTGGCATCTGGAGGCACCATCTCAACGAAGACTGCGATCTCCCAATGATGATATTTCTGGATACAAAGAGAACTACACAAGGTGGCTGTGTTACTGCAATGTGCCCCAGTTCTGTGACAGTCTACCTCGGTATGAAACCACCCAGGTGTTTGGGAGAACGTTGCTTTGCTCGGTCTTCACCGTAATGAGGCGACAAGTCCTGGAACAAGCAAGACAGGAAAAAGGCAAACTGCCTCTTGAGAAACGAACTCTAATCTTCACCCGTTTCCCAAAGTTTCTGTCCATGTTAGAAGAAGAAGTTTATAGTCAAAACTCTCCTATCTGGGATCAGGATTTTCTTTCAGTCTCTTCCCGAACCAGCCAACTAGGAATCCAAACAGTTATCAGTCCGCCTCCTGTGGCTGGGACAGTTTCATACAATTCAAATTCATCTTCCCTTGAGCAGCCGAATGGAGGCAGCACCAGTCCTGCCTCCAAAGCCTCTTGTGGGCTTGAGGCAAACCCAGGAGAAAAGAGGAAAATGAATGATTCTCATGTTCTGGAGGAGGCCAAGAGACCCCGAGTTATGGGGGATATTCCTATGGAATTGATCAGTGAGGTCATGTCAACTATCACAGACCCTGCCTTGATGCTTGGACCAGAGACAAATTCTGTCAGCACATTATGCCAGGGATGAGGCGGCGAGGCTGGAGGAGCGCAGGGGTGTGATTGAGTTTCATGTGGTTGGCAATTCCCTGAACCAGAAACCAAACAAGAAGATCCTGATGTGGCTGGTCGGCCTTCAGAACATGTTCTCCCATCAGCTGCCCCGAATGCCCGAAGAGTACATCACACGGCTTGTCTTTGACCCGAAACACAAAACTCTTGCTTTAATTAAAGATGGCCGTGTCATTGGTGTTATCTGTTTCCAAATGTTCCCATCTCAAGGATTCACAGAGATTGTTTTCTGTGCTGTCACCTCAAATGAGCAAGTCAAGGGCTACGGAACTCACCTGATGAATCATTTGAAAGAATATCATATAAAACATGACATCCTGAACTTCCTCACATATGCAGATGAATATGCAATTGGATACTTCAAGAAACAGGGTTTCTCCAAAGAAATTAAAATACCTAAAACCAAATATGTTGGCTACATCAAGGATTATGAAGGAGCCACTTTAAGGGATGTGAGCTAAACCCACGGATTCCATACACAGAATTTTCTGTCATCATTAAAAAGCAGAAGGAGATAATTAAAAAGCTGATAGAAAGAAAACAGGCCCAGATTCAAAAAGTCTGTCCTGGACTTTCATGTTCTAAAGATGGAGTTCGACAGATTCCTATAGAAAGCATTCCTGGAATTAGAGAGACAGGCTGGAAACTGAGTGGAAAAGACAAAAATAAAGAGCCCAAAGACCCTGACCAGCTTTACAGCACACTGAAGAGCATCCTCCAGCAGGTGAAGAGCCATCAAAGCGCATGGCCCTTCATGGAACCTGTGAAGAGAACAGAAGCTCTGGGATATTATGAAGTTATAAGGTTCCCCATGGATCTGAAAACCATGAGTGAACGCCTCAAGAATAGGTACTACGTGTCTAAGAAATTATTCATGGCTGATTT